TGTGTGTGTGTGTGTGTGTGTGTGTGTGTGTGTGTGGTGTGTGTGTGTATTACATATATATATATATACGTTATATGTATGTGTATGTACATACACACAACACGCACACGCACACGCGCACACGCAAACGCACCACATTGGACACACGCACACACACGCACACACACGCACATTACACTCACCACACACACACTCAGGACACACACACACACACACACACACACACACACACACACACACCACACACACACACACACACACACACACACACACACACACACACACACACACACACACACACACATATCAGTAGTTAAGTAAATTCAAAGAACAATTTTCTCTTTAGTTAATTTTTTGAAAATCCACCATAACTGCATAGTGATACTGGTAAGAATTAAGAGAAAGAAAGAAAGAAAGAAAGAAAATAGATAAAAGGGTGTATAGTACAAATTTACAGATCAAGATTATTCCTTCACTGATGAAGTTGTTTATAATTTGAGATCTACCAAGTTGATTTAGATTTATGGAATTATTCACTTATGCTTAGCTTGAGCTATAAAGATTTCATGCAAAAAATATAATGTCCATCTCAGTCGCAATTACATATTAAGATTTTTGTTTTAATCACGACAGTTTTTACATTTCAGAAAAAGTCCCACTCGTAGTACATAATTTTACAGTGGAATTTACATGTTCCAAATTATCTTATTAACAGAAATAGAATAAGTAAATAGCAACAGAAGACAGATTGTTTTTTTTTCCTTTGTGTACATTGCTTACTTGGATGTATTGTATTTAACCCATTTACTATTACATGGCAGACTATCCTTCATGCTAGGATAATATTGTCATGCCATGTGTGGTTGAACCTGATCCAAATCGTGTGCACTTGTCAGTAGTTCTGTTCTGTTTGGCTCTAGTTACACTAGTTGAGGATAAACAAACATCTAAGTATCAGGAGTAAAACCTCCTTTAAGCCTCACTGAATAAAGAATTGTTCAAGCTACAGCTAAGAGCATAGAGAAAAGGCTATTGTGATGGTTCCCAGACTCCTAATCTTTCCCTTGAGCAGCTGACTCTGCACACATTATTACTTGTGGTTTGGTATTGGGCTGGATGATCTCTTTTTGAAAGGGTTAGCTCAGTTCATTTACTTTTGTCTTATATATTTTCAGTTATTATTGGTGATGATGATACTGTATATGCTGGAGGAGTTTTCAAACTGGAACTGGAAGTTCCAGAAAGGTAATGGCTTTGATGACATCGTGACACAGTATGTTATTTGCATGAATGTAATGAGTGCTAAATTTTAGTTTCTGAATATTTTGGGTTATAAATGGACATAACTGAGAATTGTGCTGTGGGTGGACTTTATATTGCAAGGAAATCTTTTATTAGATATTTCTTATGATATGCCACTTGGAATTCATTATCAAAGACTTCTTAATTTCCAGATACCCCTTTCATCCACCAAAAGTCCGCTTCCTGACAAAGATATACCACCCAAACATTGACTCGGCTGGAAGAATCTGTCTTGACATCCTCAAGTTACCTCCTTCTGGTGGATGGAGACCTGCACACAACCTCTCCAGTATCTTGACCTCAATTCGCTTGCTTATGGCTTCTCCCAACCCGAATGATCCACTTATGACAGACATTGTAAGTGCCACCATTTCTGATTTTTGTGGTTAAAGATATACTGTTGTTACTTAGATACTGATGTGGTTATTTGCCCATACTTTGAGATATGTTTTATATAACCTAAAATTGTTCACACTATAGTACTGGAAGTTAGACGAAATTTTTAAGACCATGTTTAATAAAGATTGGGTTCTAGTGAACTGTAATATTGTTTTTGTTTCTTAGGCAGAAGAATATCAGTTCAAGAAATCTCAGTATGAAGCAACTGCCAAAGAATGGACTGCTAAATATGCTAAAAGTGTGGTAAGTTGCAGCATAATGATTATATACTTATGAATATTGTTCTTACTACTACTACTACTACCATTACTATTAATATTCTACTACTACTATTCTACTACTACCAGTATTCTACTACTGTTACTATTTTTACTACTACTATTACTACTACTTTTTATTACTACTACTACTATTTTATTACTACTACTACTATTTTAATTACTTACTACTACTATTTTTTATTACTACTACTACTATTTTACTACTACTATGTTACTACTAACTACTATTTTATACTACTACTACTTATTTTATTACTACTATTTTATTACTTTTTTTACTACTACTACTATTACTACTACTACTACTACTTACTACTACTACTACTACTACTACTACTACTACTACTACTACTACTACTTTACTACTACTACTACTACTACTACTACTACTACTACTACTACTACTACTACTACTACTACTACTACTACTACTACTACTACTACTACTACTACTACTACTCTACTACTACTACTACTACTTACTACTACTACTACTTACTAACTATTATTATTATTATTACTACTACTACTACTACTATTATTACGACAACTATGACTACTACTATGACTACTACTATTACTACTGCTACTGCTACTGCTACTACTACTGCTAATGATAATAATGATAATAATACTTTTTTTTTTTACTACTGCTATTACTACTACTTTACTACTGCTACTCCTCGTACTACGACTACTATGACTACGACTACTATGACTATGACTACTATGACTACAATTACTATTACTACTACGACTACGACTGCTATGACTACGACTGCGACTACTACGGCTTTGACTACAATGACTGCGACTTCTACGACTACTACGACTGCAACTTCTACAACTACGACTGTGATTGTGACTGTGACTACTACGACTACTACGACCACTACGACTACTACGACTACTACGACTGCTATGACTATGACTACAACTAAGACTACTAAGACTATGACTATGACTATGACTACTACTACGACTACAACTACTATGACTATGACTACGACTACTACGACTACAACTACTACTATGACTTACGACTACGACTACTACGACTACGACGACTACTACGACTACAAACTTACTATGACTACGACTACGGACTATGACTATTACGACTATTATGACTACGACTACTATGACTACGACTACTACTACGACTATGACTACTACAACTACGACTACTATGATTATGACTGCTATGACTATGATTACGACTACCACGACTACGACTACGACTATGACTTCTATGACTACGACTACTGTGACTACAACTACTATGACTACTATGACTACGACTACGACTACTACGACTACCACGACTTCGACTACTATGACTGCGACTTCTACGACTTCTACAACTAGTACGACTGCGACTTCTACTACTACTATGACTGCGACTTCTACTACTACTACGACTGCGACTACGACTACTACGACCACTACGACTACGACTGCGACTGCTACGACCACTACGACTATGACTGCGACTACTACGACCACTACGACGACGACTGCGACTACTACGACCACTATGACTACTATGACTATGAATACAACTACGACTACTACGGCTACAACTACTATGACTACGACTACGACTACTGCGACCACAACTACTATGACTATGACTACGACTACTACGACTACAAACTATTGACTACTATGACTATGACTACTATGATTACGACTACTATGATTACGATTACTATGATTACGATTACTATGACTACAACTACTATGACTACGACTAGTATAACTACTATGACTACTACTACTACTATGACTACGACTATGACTACAACGACTACGACCAGTATGACTACGACTGCTACGACTACGACTGCTACGACTATGACTACGACTACTATGACTACGACTATGATTACAACTACTATGATTATGACTACTATGATTACAACTACTATGACTACGACTACTACTACTGACTATGACTACTACTACTACTATGACTACTACTACTGTGACTACTACTACTACGACTGCTACTACTACGGGACTACACATATGACTTACGACTACTATGACTACTACTAACTACTTACACGACTTACTACTTACTACTACTACGACTACGACTATGACTACTACGACTATGACTACTACGACTATGACTACTACGACTACGACTACTATGACTACAACTACTATGACTATTACGACTACGACTACTAATGATCTATAACTAACTATACTACTACTACGACTGCTACTTACTACTACACTGCTAAACTACTACGCTACTGCTGCTCTATTACTGCTTACTACTACTACTACTACTACTACTACTACTACTACTACATACTACGCTACTACTACTAACTACTACTACTACAACTATTACTATTACGACTACGATTACTATGACTACGACTACTATACTACGACTATGACTTACTATGATACGACTATGACTACACTACTATAGTATGATGCTATGACTATGACTACTACGACTACGAATACTATGATTACGACTATTATGATTACAACTACTATGACTACAACTACTATGACTATGACTACTATGACTACAACGACTATGACTAGTATGACTATGACTGCTACGACTATGACTACAACTACTATGACTACGACTACTATGATTACGACTACTATGATTACGACTACTATGACTACAACTACTATGATTACAACCACTATGACTACGACTACTATGACTATGACTACTATGACTACTACTACTATGACTACTACTGACTACTACTACGACTACTAGATACTACGACTACTATGACTACTACTACTACTACGACTACTACTACTACGACTACGACTATGACTACAACGACTATGACTACTACGACTACAACTACTTTGACTACGACTACTATGACTACTACTACTATACTACTACTACGACTGCTACTACTACTACTGCTAGTACTACTGCTACTGCTTCTGTTGCTACTGCTGCTGCTGCTACTGCTGCTGCTGCTACTGCTACTGCTACTGCTACTACTACTACTACTA